CCCCACCCACCCCGACCCCCGACTGCCGGAGGGGCCCGCATCGAGTCCCGCTTGCTCCCCCCGCGGGAGCCCTCCAGTTCGCCAGGCAGCTGGGGAGCCCCGGGGACCCATCTGCTGCCCAGGCCCCAGAGGGCCCTCTGTGGAGGACCTGCGTGGCCCGGGAGAGGCCCTGGGGCTCCCAGGGGGGGCCGCTTCAAGGCCAGGCTGGACGGGGCTTTGAACAACTTGGTCTTGGTACCGAGTCCTTCAGTTAATGCTTTGCAGTGCTATGCTCGCAAAATAAGCTTACAAATTTGCTTCGATAAAGGGGAAGTCTCAAGAGTCTTGTATCCCTGCGCACCGCAGATAAAGAAGTTACACTGGAATAAGCTGGTTTTGCAGTGTTGTGCGGACAAGAAGTTTTGGAACCAAACCAAAAGAACAAGCTGCACGTGCACGAAAAGTAGACTGAGTACACGGTGAGGAAGACCCTGGAAGACCACCAAAGGACACGAATGCACATGCGTCAGGGACGTTTACGTCAATTAATGAGCTATAAGAAAAGTACAAATATGTTAATCATTTCTCAGAAACCTAATGCATATATAGATTTTGATCACTTATAATGTCTGTAAGCAAGCAATCAGGCACGCACACATTAAGAGGAGGGATCCGCTGTGTGCCTGGTGCCACGATAAAGAACGCCAGCTTTCTGAAACTCCAAACTGAGTCTTAGTTCCTATTCTGCTGACTTACGGAATCAGTCTAATGGGAGGTGTTCCTGCCAGTGGCAGGGGAATTGGAACTCGAAGATCTTGAAGGTCCCTTCCAGTCTGAACCGTTCTATAATTCTATGCTTGGCCCTGCTCGTGCCTCTGAGAGGGCTGAAGAGGCCCTGGGGTTCCCTGGAGAGCAGCAGGGCACTGCCCAGGCCATGGACAAGCCCGGCAGCCATGTGCAGGTGTGGAATGGGCCATGTTGGAGCCTCCTGCTTCTCCACCACCTGCTGAGCAGAGTGGCAATTCCTCCCTCAGGCATGCTCAGGGTGCAGGGAGGGCTGGAGAGCGGTTGGTCTTGGTACCGAGTCCTTCAGTTAATGCTTTGCAGTGCTATGCTCGCAAAATAAGCTTACAAATTTGCTTCGATAAAGGGGAAGTCTCAAGAGTCTTGTATCCCTGCGCACCGCAGATAAAGAAGTTACACTGGAATAAGCTGGTTTTGCAGTGTTGTGCGGACAAGAAGTTTTGGAACCAAACCAAAAGAACAAGCTGCACGTGCACGAAAAGTAGACTGAGTACACGGTGAGGAAGACCCTGGAAGACCACCAAAGGACACGAATGCACATGCGTCAGGGACGTTTACGTCAATTAATGAGCTATAAGAAAAGTACAAATATGTTAATCATTTCTCAGAAACCTAATGCATATATAGATTTTGATCACTTATAATGTCTGTAAGCAAGCAATCAGGCACGCACACATTAAGAGGAGGGATCCGCTGTGTGCCTGGTGCCACGATAAAGAACGCCAGCTTTCTGAAACTCCAAACTGAGTCTTAGTTCCTATTCTGCTGACTTACGGAATCAGTCTAATGGGAGGTGTTCCTGCCAGTGGCAGGGGAATTGGAACTCGAAGATCTTGAAGGTCCCTTCCAGTCTGAACCGTTCTATAATTCTATGCTTGGCCCTGCTCGTGCCTCTGAGAGGGCTGAAGAGGCCCTGGGGTTCCCTGGAGAGCAGCAGGGCACTGCCCAGGCCATGGACAAGCCCGGCAGCCATGTGCAGGTGTGGAATGGGCCATGTTGGAGCCTCCTGCTTCTCCACCACCTGCTGAGCAGAGTGGCAATTCCTCCCTCAGGCATGCTCAGGGTGCAGGGAGGGCTGGAGAGCGGCCCCACCA